TGCTTTTCAAACTGGACCAGATTAATGTTGAGGGTTTAAAAAACATTTTAAACTCAGAAGAAAACAGAAGTCCAGTGAACAAAAGAATGAATGAGGACATATCTCACCATCTGACATGTGTGCATTGGTTCCTGTAGGAGAGACAAAGAACAATACATTTAGTCACAGGAAATTTGTTTGTTTGTGCAGTGATGATAATCTACATGGAACTAAGATGGTTTTGACCGACATATTTAGATTTCTGAGAACAAAAGCAACCGGTTCCTCCTGTGTTCCTGAGGCCCCATTTGCATCTTTTAAAAGCAGAACTTTTGCTATGTTTCCACCTCCCATCCAGACTAAAACCAAAGTCTGAAAACGCTGCTGACCCCGTTTTCGTTTAAAGCTCCAGGGTAGAGTTTTAGTGGCTACTGACATTTATTTACTGTGTAAATAACACTTCTACACTTGTACTGTTTATGTCTCCGTATTTACTTTGCGACGACTCCCAGTCTTTCCGCCGCCACAGTCGCTTTGGACTACATTCAGTAACAGTTCCACCTCGTTGTCGATCCATGCAAAGAAATCTCTGGTGTGCTTCTTCGTCTGCATTACTTTCATCTTTCGCCAAAACTTCTGCAACTTGCGTTGTTTAAATATAAACGGAGATCAATTCTGATACGCAGCTAAAACGCTGCTGTGGACAGAGAACGTATTCATTTTAAAACTCTGTTTTTAAACAGCAGCGTGGATGTAGCCACCCGAGTAGCAGCTTTAATTCACTTTGTTATGTTGTGATTATCGAAGTAAACTCAAATTGTTTTACTACAAAAAATGACACAGATGCATTTCTTAGCTTATTAGTCTAATAAAAGTGTGAATCAGTCTCCTGCCCACACACAGAGAGTCAAACTGCCAGTTCTTCAGTCAAATATTTCTGCATGTTGCAAGTGTCTGAACTGACTGTGAGCAGATAATTACACAGAAACAGAAGAGTCAGTCTCTTCTTTCTAGATTTCTTTTCATTATGAATAAAAAACAAATCAGGTGATCAACTGAGAAGATATTTTAATTTACCTGTAACTGCTAAGACCACAAGCATGACGCCACAAACCAACACTCTGACCTCCATCGTGCGACTCTACCAACTGTGTCTGGTCATCGGTAGAGGAGTTTATTAATGGAAGAGTTTATCAGTGGATAAACCGCCTGGACGGGCCGCTCACGATCTTCTTTACCAACAAACCAAATTAACATTTTCTCTGGCCCCGGGCGTTGCACTGCTGCTGCTGTGTCTACTTTTAGGAATCAGAATCACTTTCATTGGCCAGGTATTTACAGAGAGCCTACAAGATAATTTGGGCCCGAGCACGAACCGTGTGAGGTCCCTATTGAAACTGTAAAGATTTTTTGTTTTTTTTATTTTTTCTGCAAAGTAAGCTCAATTTTGGGGGCCTAAACATACTCGAAAACTCACCTAATTTTGCACACATGTCAGAAGTGGTGAAAAATTTTGTATTTTATGGGTTTCGCGCATGGGCGAATTTTACAGCAATGTTTGGATGATTTACAGACTCCATACTTTAACGAACTCCTCCTAGGGATTTTGTCCGATCGACTTCAAATTTCTGCTGTGCCTTCTAAAGTTGTGCTATCTGTGAGTTTTCGTCAATGGGCGTGTCTGTGCTCTTTTTCTGCCAAACTCCTGGCCACACAAACCAGCTGATGGAAATGCACATTATTTAGCAACTTTTTTTATTTATTTTTTTTGCGACATTTCAAAAGTACGCTTAAAATTCACATGACAATTAGATGGAAACATGGCTACAGTGTTGAAGAAACCATGCAGGCCTCACTTACAGACATTATTTATAAACTGTAAACCTTTTTATTCACCGCGGGAGTTTTCCTCGTTTGTCCTGGTCGCTGTTTACATTCCACCTCAGGCCTGTGTTAGTGAGGCGTTACTACATCTGGCCGACCAGATGACTAATGTGGAGAAAAAACATCCAGACTCACTGCTCATTGTTATCGGGGACTTTAACAAAGCAAACCTCAGCCATGAACTTCCAAAGTACAGACAGCATATTAAGTGTCCCACCAGGGACACTAACACACTGGACCACTGCTACACAATATTAAAGGACGCCTGTCGCTCTGTTCCCCGTGCAGCCTCAAGACTCGCTGATCACTGTCTGGTTCATCTTATCCCGTCTTACCGGCTGCTAAACCTGCTTTAAAGAGGGTGAAAAGATGGACCAACGACTTAAAGCTGGAGTTACAGGCCTGCTTTGACTGCACTGACTGGAGGGTCATTGAGGCTGCAGCCACTGACCTGGACCAACTAACTGACACTGCGACATCTTACATCAGTTTTAGTGAGGACATTCGTGTGCCGACCAAAACCTTCCGCACAAACAACCAACCACTGGCTCACAGCAAAACTCAGGCAGCTTCGTCAGACCAAGGAGGAGGCCTTCAGAAGCAGGGACAGAGCCCGGTATAACCAGGCCAGGAACACACTGACTAAAGAGGTCAAAGCTGTAAAGAGGAGCTACGCTGAAAAGCTAGAAAACAGCTCTAGAGCCAGCGACCCTGCATCTGTGTGGCGAGGCCTGCTGACACACACAAACTACAGGAGACCATCTCCCAACACTCCTGGTACTCAACAACTGGCAGACGAGCTGAATGGTTTCTATTGTAGGTTTGAAAAGCCCACAGTCACACCTCCCCCCCACTCCAACGCCATCTTCAAACAGTCACCTTCCCCCACTGCCATGCTGTCACTCCCCCTCTCTGACCTCTCACCTGCACTCACGATCTGTGAAGAGGATGTGCGGCAGCTCTTCCAGAGGCAGAAGATCAGGAAGGCTCCTGGACCTGACGGTGTGTCACATCCTTCCTGAAAATCTGTGCGGACCAGCTGGCCCCCATCTTCACTCAGATCTTCAACAAATCCAACCCGGTCTCTCTCCCAAGTCGTCACATATGAACGCTTGGTCAAGAGCCATAATCGTCAGTTTGTGACGCACTAGGGATCCCTTTGACGTCATAGTTCGACGTATTGAGGGAAGCCCTGTTGTGTCAGTTTTTGATGGTAAAGGCAAGTATGATATTTAAGAGAAAAGACGAAGTAAGGAGGTGATTGGGGTGGATAGAGGGCCAGAACCCGGACCTTGAAGCAGGAGAACAGGGTTTGTGTCCCGTGCGAAACAAAACATTAAATGTTTTTATTTAGGCGAGTGAGGTAAATTGACATTAATGTTAGTTAACTTAAGCCTTAACCAAACTGCAACGTTTCACGACTTTAATTATGGCAATGTATCGAAACGTTACGTTTTATCTTGAAAGTGTAACCGGATATTGCATATTTATTGTTGCTAAGCGTTGCTAACTTGACTGTGGATCCCTAAACGTCAATAATTGATGCAAAAGGGCTACACAAGTCTTTAAAAAGCGACGACAAAGGGCCTTGACCATGCGTCAGACATTTGACGAGTAGGGAGTGAGACTGTGTTGACAAATCACTGGAGCTGTGTGAAGTTCCCTCCTGCTTCAAACGCTCCACAATCATCCCAGTCACCAAAATACACTCCATTACTGGACTAAATGACTACAGGTCTGTCGCCCTGACATCTGTAGTCATGAAGTCCTTTGACAGACTGGTGTTGGCCCACCTGAAGGACATTACAGGCCCCCTGCTGGACCCCCTGCAGTTTGCCTACAGGGCTAACAGGTCAGTGGATGATGCTGTCAACTTGGGACTGCATCACATCCTGCAACACCTCGACTCTCCAGGGACACATGCAAGGATCCTGTTCGTGGACTTCAGGAGGAGCCCCCCCCCACTCTGCCCCCCATTACTTACTCAACAGCCCTGCGTCTGCTGTGGAATATTTCAGGTTTCTGGGATCCACTATAACCAAGGACCTGAAGTGGGAGCAGTAGGAGAGATTGTCTCACTGGCTTATGTGTTGCTGCACCGTGTACTCAGAGTTGTTGTCAATCTGTTTCTTTTGTGTCAAGGAGGTGATGTCTGTTTCGACTGTACTCTAGCTCTCCTTCAGCTGTACTTAGGTGATAAGATCTGTCAGTTTCTGCTGGTTTCCAGTAGCCATGCTCCTGACCTCCCTAATTAATAGTTCAGTATTGTACTGTATTTATTTCAGGCCTATTTCCTTTTCCCTAAGTGGTTATCCCACTTGTCAGGCCGCCATTGTAAAGAAGAACTTGTTCTTAATGACTTGCCTGTAAAAAAAAAAAGAATAATAAAAAAAAAAAGAGACAAAGTTCAGTAGTTGTTGTATGTTGTTACTGTATGTTCTAATACATGGTTAAAAGAGAGAAATTTACCAAGATTAACTATCAAAATAAGAAAAAAAGGGACTCCAAGTGTCTAGATAAGATGTAAGTTGTCATTTTATCTGGGTTGACACACAGTTTATGTGGGGAAACATTCCCAGATCCCAGTTTAGGTTTGTTCTCCCAGATTCGGCTATGATGTGGAGGCTGATCACAAAAATTCAAATCTCACCTCGTCTGCATCGTCATGTCTCGTGGTTTTAAGTGTTAAATGCCCCCCCCCCCCCCACTGGTCAACACAAAGTGACGTGTGTGCCATGCCATAATGACAATGTTGATGATTAGTTCAATTAAGATCAATGATAATAATATAATCGCAGCGATATCATAAAGTGAGACTGTCACCTACTGCTGGTGAAAACTCAGTGTCAAACAGCGCAGCATTGTTTATGTATCCAAAGAAGGTTAAAGTCACGGGCAACTGGACTTGGTTGAAGATACTAGAAGACGTTTGGTCCCTCATCCAAGAGACTTCTTCAGTTCTGAAATGAACTTTTTTTTTTTTTTTTAAATGGGTCAGTTTATTAACTACAACATTAATTTAATTGTTTAATTTAAATATGTTGAAGATGGTCGATGTCGTGGAAATTGTATCTTGCTGGTGAAATAACTGAGTAACAACCAACCGTTGTCTTTGAAGAATTTATTAATAGAAGAGAATAAACAGAAGGACTAAAACACATATCCAGCTGGTCCTAGGGCAGCTTCTGAGCAAAGGGATGCATCAACATTTACAGTCTAGGTTTCTATGTTTTGGGGAACAGAGATCCTGTTAAGGAGGAGATTAAGATTAAATGTAAGACGACACAATTTTCTGCCATAACAGTCGACATCAACAAGTTTAAAGTTTCCACTAAAGTGAAAATCCTACCGAGGAGTTGTCTGGTTCCAGCTTCACTGATGAGGATTTACATGATGATGAACTGAATATTTTTGGGTTTTAGACTGTTGGTCCAAATCTTTTTGACTACATCGGTCTATGGACGTTTTAAAAGGACAAATTTCTCTATTTTCTGCCATTTTAAACAAACAGACAAAATGATGAATAAATTAATGGAAAAAATAATCAGCAGATTGTTAACGGTCATGAAAACATTCATTAGTTGTAGCCCTCATTTTTTAAATCAAATGTCAGTACACCAGTTTCTGATCTCTATCTTCTCCTCTGTCGACTCTTTTCTGCAAAACTCCTTCAACACAAGAATAACTGGAAACGTGCAGAATTTTAGCTTATTTTAAAGTAAATTAATCTCCAAAGGCAAAAAATTTGCGACCGCGAGGCAGAGAGAGAGAGGGATTTTCACTCCAGCCTGGTGAATTAAATCATCACTAAAGGACAGAGAAGGAGACGAGAACAGGTAAGATGGACAGCAGCAGAGGAACCGAGAGGGGAACCAGGTGAGCTGCTCCAGAGATGCTGATCTGCCTGTCGATCCAGGACTGATACTGGGACACTCGGGTGTAGACGTCTGGGACATTAGGCAGGGCACAGCCTCCTCCAAAACTCACCACTCCAGCCTGGACCCAGACAGAGCCGTTTTTAGTCACCAGCGGGCCGCCTGAATCCCCCTGCAGACATCAGACAGGTCGGTTATACTTCATACTTCTGCTCTCAGAGGGAAATACTGTCCTTTTTATTCACCAGTCAGATCTATTGATTAGTGCAGATTTAAACATGTGTGTTATCAGTTGATGGAGGAGTGTTTTGCAGACAGACTCACCTGGCAGGAGTCCTTTCCTCCCTGAGTCACACCAGCACAGATCATGTTGTTTGTGATTTTACCACCGTAGGTAACGTTACAATCACTGTTGGACACGATGTGAACGCTCACCTCCTGCAGCCTCTCTGGGGAAGGAAGTGAAACTGAAAAAGAAAACGGACATTAATGTTGAGTTAATGAGTCTGTATTTTTTCTTTGTGTTGACAGTGTGTGTCTCACAGCCTGATCTTGTTGTGGTCCAACAGTCCTTCTTGTCCTCTGTGTTAAGGTTTGTCAAGCTCAGACACGGGAAAAAGGGATTTGGTCCCACATACGCCATCCCACTGCCCAAAATGCTCTCTAGAGCAGTGGTTCTCAAAGGGGTCCTTGAGGGGGCTCCAGGGTGTCCCCAGCAGAAAGGGAAATTATTTATATTCTCTTTTTTTCCATGCACAATACCGGAATTTATGACAATTTTGGTTATGAGTTTCATACACTTTCATAACAAAACATCTAAAAGCAAAAGATGGGTAACCCTGGGACACAATCTTATCAAATGGTGGTCTGTGGTCTAATTTTTGACAGTTTCGGGGGCCTTGACATTAAAAGTTTGAGAACCACTGCTCTAGAGCACCACATTTTGATTCATACACACTTGAAATGGTAGAATTACTTCCCTGTAGGGAATATAATCTGATGGTTTTCCTGTTGAAACAGGGTAAACCAATGAGCAATTACTTTTATTTGATCAAACATGCAGAAAGTCAGGACTTTTGGACCTCGTAGCTACACCAGTGCAGGACGACTCATCTCTGCTCATGATACCAGAACAGACTCAGTGTTGCAGCCCTGCAGGAAAGATCCCATTCATCTTTCACACAGACGATGTTTGCTGAGTCACAGTTGAGGATGGACATGAAACTCTGTTTAAATCATCAGTACAAAAGATGAACAACTGTAAGAAAATATCCATCTGTCCATTTTCTGCCTCTGATCTAAAGCAGGGCCTCTGTGGCAGCAGGCTCAGAAAGAAAGTCCAGACGGCCATGATCCATTACTGAAGTAAAAGTCCTGCATTCAAAATTTTACTTCAGTAAAAGCTCAGAAGTATAGTGACAAAGTTCCAAAAGGGATTTAGCATTAATGCTGGATGAATCCATACAGTCATTCACTATTAACAGAACATTTTAAAATGACTGCCGAATAAATTTAAATTCTCACCGTTAGTTTGGATGTCTCCCCATCCGGTGACCCAGCAGATCGTCCCGTTGTTAAAGACGCTGCCGTCCGCCGCCAGACACACGGGTCTGATGTAGTCGGTGAAGGTAACAGGTGAGGACAGCTTCAGCAAGGCTATGTCGTTATTGTTCGTGGTGGTGTTATAGCTTGATGATTTGGGACACAGTCTGGGACATCGCGTCTGTATTCGACAAATTCAGGGAGTCAAGACCGAGGTTAACGGTGAGACCGGGTGAGGTGCTGAGAAACAGAAAAAACATGTTTCAATATGTGACAGACACTGGTGCTGTCTGAGTGTGAATTTTAAAATAAACTGTCTTTATTTAAAAAAAATAAAGTTTTATATATATTTTAGAAATACCAAGGGCTGAAAGAGGAGCTAGAAAAGATGTGGAAAGTAAGAGCAACAGTGGTGCCAGTGGTGATCGAGCACTGGGGGCCGTGACCCCCAGACTGGGAGAGTGGCTACAGCAGGTTCCAGGTAAAACATCAGAGGTCTCTGTCCAGAAGAGTGCAGTCCTAGGAACAGTTAAGATACTGCGCAGAACCCTCAAACTCCCAGGCCTCTGGTAGAGGACCCGAGCTTGAGGAATGCCACCCCGCAAGGGGTGAGAGGGGGATTTTATTATATCTTCTTCTATTCTTTATATCGTCTTTAAATATTGTGACATTTTGCAATTCAAACTACTTATTCAAACAGCAAATATTACAGTGACCAAGGATCGGGAACGAGAACCTTTTGTTGTAATCTGTATTATAGCAGCAGTAAGGGTTGTTGAGTAACGGCGTTACGTAATCAGGATACAAAAATAAAATAACTGTCCGTTACAGTACAAAAACAAGGATGTAATCAGATTACAGCTACATTTTGAAAAAAAACGGGATTATTCAGAGATTACTTTAAGCACAAAGTTTCCATGAAACGGTATTTGCTGTGTTTTCCCTGTAAAAACACACAGCTAGTGATGGATCCATCGCAGATATTGATCGGCCGGTAGCCAGTAATTGAATGTGGTTTCGCCCCCCTCCCCGTCATGGTGCGGGCTGATGCCAGCTCTCATCAAACAGCAAAGATAAGAATAGGAGGGGCGAGTTAAACCCACTTGAAAATCAACATTTTGGGATTAATCTCAGGATTTTGAGGGGGAAAGTGTGAATGGTTTGTTTCTTTAAACACATCTGAATTTAGTCTTGATGTTTAGATTAATTTATCAAGTCAGTTCCCTTGACCAAGAAACTGGAACTACATCTGAACCTTTTGTTGTATTCTGCATTATGTGCAGTGGCAGCGTCTCCTGCTTATGGTTTGGTTTTAATGCTCTAACTGTCCGGCAAAATAACTTGTGGAACAATATTTATCATGTATGTTTTACAACTGTAATGGTGTCTATTACTAACAGCATAAAGAAAAACATGCAGGGTGGTTTTAATGTGGGTTACTGCAGGCGGCACCCTCATTGTATTTTCTCCCTGTCCTTTCTTTCTGTTGCAAGCTTGTACAGGTGAAGTCATGTAACAGGATCATAGCTCACCTGGAGAAACAGGTAGCAGCAGTCAGGACCCACTGATTGTTGATCAGGGAGCCTCCACAGAAATGAGATCCGTTGCTCTGCAGACTGACCTGCCAGGGCCACGACCCGGGAGGAGCATCCACCCCTCCTACGATCCTGGTGTTGAGCGGCGTAGTGCCACAAACTGGAGGGAGACAGTCGGAATTCATGTCTACTGTAAAACTTTCATTAGTAGCCCAGGCATTTATTTGCTAAAATCCCTGAATTGACCCTGCCTATATTCGGTACAGGCCTTTAATTCTTTTTGCACAAAACTGAAATAGGCTACTATGAAATATTTTATTTATTTCAAACAGTATGAATATTACTTTAAATATTTACACTGTTCTACAAGCTGTACACTTACTACTTTACATTGTAGCAAAGTGTCATTTCTTCAGTGTTGTCACAAAGATATAATCAAATATTTACAAAACTATGAGGGGTATACTCACTTTTGTGAGAATCTTTCCACGAACTAAACAAGAAAGATCATTGAGTCCCAGCACACAACAAAGCAAATTCTGCCATCTGCTGGTTCCCTAGTGGATCATATCAAGAATCTTGGCGTCTGGTTCTACGCTAATTTAAGTTTTGAGCAGCACACCACAAAGCTTGTGCAATCGTGTTTTTATCATCTTTCAAATATATCAAATATACGATTTATGTTAACTTTCATCATATATTCACGCCTGGATTTCTGCAACAGTTTTACCTGCTTGACTCAGAAATCTACTGCAGACTGTCCTGAACCAGAACCAAGAAACGTTCATTAAACTGGCCACAATGTCTCAGAATAGACTTTAAAATTGTATTGATGACTTGTAAGTCTCTTCGTGGTCTCTCGCCCTGTTGTATCTCTGACCTTCTAGTTCTTGCAGCTATGCACCAGCACAAACTCTGAGAGAGGAAGCTGGATGAGAAGTCAGAGGATCACCAAAGTCACTAGGACTCATCCTGAGGGGAACATGAACGTCTGAACCACATTTTATCACAATTTAACCAACTTCTGTGGAGAGACAGTATTTGACTCTTATGGAGCTTCTAAAGTGCAACTAAAAGCTGCTTTTCAGACCTGGACCGGATTAATGTTGAGGGTTTAAAAAACATTTTAAACTCAGAAGAAAACAGAAGTCCAGTGAACAAAAGAATGAGGACATATCTCACCATCTGACATGTGTGCATTGGTTCCTGTAGGAGAGACAAAGAACAATACATTTAGTCACAGGAAATTTGTTTGTTTGTGCAGTGATGATAATCTACATGGAACTAAGATGGTGTTGACCGACATATTTAGATTTCTGAGAACAAAAGCAACCGGTTCCTCCTGTGTTCCTGAGGCCCCATTTGCATCTTTTAAAAGCAGAACTTTTGCTATGTTTCCACCTCCCATCCAGACTAAAACCAAAGTCTGAAAACGCTGCTGACCCCGTTTTCGTTTAAAGCTCCAGGGTAGAGTTTTAGTGTGGACAGGCGAAAACAGAGGACTGTAAAAATGATTATACAGACACTCAAGTTTGGCTTCCTGATTGGCTCTTTGATGACGATGCTACTGACAAAGTTCTAGTTTTGGTGTATTATTAAAATATTTTTTACTGTGTAAATAACACTTCTACACTTGTACTGTTTATGTCTCCGTATTTACTTTGCGACGACTCCCAGTCTTTCCGCCGCCACAGTCGCTTTGGACTACATTCAGTAACAGTTCCACCTCGTTGTCGATCCATGCAAAGAAATCTCTGGTGTGCTTCTTCGTCTGCATTACTTTCATCTTTCGCCAAAACTTCTGCAACTTGCGTTGTTTTAATATAAACGGAGATCAATTCTGATACGCAGCTAAAACGCTGCTGTGGACAGAGAACGTATTCATTTTAAAACTCTGTTTTTAAACAGCAGCGTGGATGTAGCCACCCGAGTAGCAGCTTTAATTCACTTTGTTATGTTGTGATTATCGAAGTAAACTCAAATAGTTTTACTACAAAAAATGACACAGATGCATTTCTTAGCTTATTAGTCTAATAAAAGTGTGAATCAGTCTCCTGCCCACACACAGAGAGTCAAACTGCCAGTTCTTCAGTCAAATATTTCTGCATGTTGCAAGTGTCTGAACTGACTGTGAGCAGATAATTACACAGAAACAGAAGAGTCAGTCTCTTCTTTCTAGATTTCTTTTCATTATGAATAAAAAACAAATCAGGTGATCAACTGAGAAGATATTTTAATTTACCTGTAACTGCTAAGACCACAAGCATGACGCCACAAACCAACACTCTGACCTCCATCGTGCGACTCTACCAACTGTGTCTGGTCATCGGTAGAGGAGTTTATTAATGGAAGAGTTTATCAGTGGATAAACCGCCTGGACGGGCCGCTCACGATCTTCTTTACCAACAAACCAAATTAACATTTTCTCTGGCCCCGGGCGTTGCACTGCTGCTGCTGTGTCTACTTTTAGGAATCAGAATCACTTTCATTGGCCAGGTATTTACAGATAGCCTACAAGATAATTCCAGGTTTACATCCCTCTTAGTGTACAAGGTTCAAAGTTCAAGATACATACAAATACAAAAAGAAGTGGTCAGACTTGTTAGGACCGTTCCATTGAAGAGAAAAAAAACACAATGGTCCCTAAAATAACTTGAAACTGAAAAAATAATAAAGAAATTAAATAATATAATAATAATAATAAATAAAACTTTAATGAAACTGAACTGATGAAAATCAGACATTAATTAATTATTTATAATAACATAACAGAATAAGCAGAAATAAACCTGACAACAAGCTCAACAAAACAGACATAGTGTAAACATATTGATAATAAACTTTAAAAGTACAAAAGTAGTCTAATGGAAACCCCTATACGGACAATGCTATGATCAATGTCATTAATGACAATATTGAAGCAGTGGACAGTGAGATCATTATTTTTTTGTTTTTTGATTTATCAAAAGCCTTTGATACAGTAGACCATCACATTTTACTGGGAAAACTTTGCAATATTATTTTTTGCAGCAGAAGTTGAGCTGTGTGTTTGGGAGCAGCAGGAGTGGAGCTGTGTGTTTGGGAGCAGCAGGAGTGGAGCTGTTTGTTTGGGTGGAGCAGGAGTGGAGCTGTGTGTTTGGGAGCAGCAGGAGTGGAGCTGTTTGTTTGGGTGGAGCAGGAGTGGAGCTGTGTGTTTGGGAGCAGCAGGAGTGGAGCTGTTTGTTTGGGAGCAGCAGGAGTGGGGCTTTTTTTTTGGGAGCAGCAGGAGTGGAGCTGTGTGTTTGGGTGCAGCAGGAGTGGAGCTGTTTGTTTGGGAGCAGCAGGAGTGGAGCTGTGTGTTTGGGAGCAGCAGGAGTGGAGCTGTGTGTTTGGGAGCAGCAGGAGTGGAGCTGTGTGTTTGGGAGCAGCAGGAGTGGAGCTGTGTGTTTGGGAGCAGCAGGAGTGGAGCTGTGTGTTTGTTCTGTTTTTAAACAGCAGCGTGGATGTAGCCACCCGAGTAGCAGCTTTAATTCACTTTGTTATGTTGTGATTATCGAAGTAAACTCAAATTGTTTTACTACAAAAAATGACACAGATGCATTTCTTAGCTTATTAGTCTAATAAAAGTGTGAATCAGTCTCCTGCCCACACACAGAGAGTCAAACTGCCAGTTCTTCAGTCAAATATTTCTGCATGTTGCAAGTGTCTGAACTGACTGTGAGCAGATAATTACACAGAAACAGAAGAGTCAGTCTCTTCTTTCTAGATTTCTTTTCATTATGAATAAAAAACAAATCAGGTGATCAACTGAGAAGATATTTTAATTTACCTGTAACTGCTAAGACCACAAGCATGACGCCACAAACCAACACTCTGACCTCCATCGTGCGACTCTACCAACTGTGTCTGGTCATCGGTAGAGGAGTTTATTAATGGAAGAGTTTATCAGTGGATAAACCGCCTGGACGGGCCGCTCACGATCTTCTTTACCAACAAACCAAATTAACATTTTCTCTGGCCCCGGGCGTTGCACTGCTGCTGCTGTGTCTACTTTTAGGAATCAGAATCACTTTCATTGGCCAGGTATTTACAGATAGCCTACAAGATAATTCCAGGTTTACATCCCTCTTAGTGTACAAGGTTCAAAGTTCAAGATACATACAAATACAAAAAGAAGTGGTCAGACTTGTTAGGACCGTTCCATTGAAGAGAAAAAAAACCACAATGGTCCCTAAAATAACTTGAAACTGAAAAAATAATAAAGAAATTAAATAATATAATAATAATAATAAATAAAACTTTAATGAAACTGAACTGATGAAAATCAGACATTAATTAATTATTTATAATAACATAACAGAATAAGCAGAAATAAACCTGACAACAAGCTCAACAAAACAGACATAGTGTAAACATATTGATAATAAACTTTAAAAGTACAAAAGTAGTCTAATGGAAACCCCTATACGGACAATGCTATGATCAATGTCATTAATGACAATATTGAAGCAGTGGACAGTGAGATCATTATTTTTTTGTTTTTTGATTTATCAAAAGCCTTTGATACAGTAGACCATCACATTTTACTGGGAAAACTTTGCAATATTATTTTTTGCAGCAGAAGTTGAGCTGTGTGTTTGGGAGCAGCAGGAGTGGAGCTGTGTGTTTGGGAGCAGCAGGAGTGGAGCTGTTTGTTTGGGTAGAGCAGGAGTGGAGCTGTGTGTTTGGGAGCAGCAGGAGTGGAGCTGTTTGTTTGGGAGCAGCAGGAGTGGAGCTGTTTGTTTGGGAGCAGCAGGAGTGGAGCTGTGTGTTTGGGAGCAGCAGGAGTGGAGCTGTGTGTTTGGGAGCAGCAGGAGTGGAGCTGTGTGTTTGGGAGCAGCAGGAGTGGAGCTGTGTGTTTGGGAGCAGCAGGAGTGGAGCTGTGTGTTTGGGAGCAGCAGGAGTGGAGCTGTTTGTTTGGGAGCAGCAGGAGTGGAGCTGTTTGTTTGGGTGCAGCAGGAGTGGAGCTTTTTGTTTGGGAGCAGCAGGAGTGGAGCTTTTTGTTTGGGAGCAGCAGGAGTGGGGCTTTTTTTTTTGGGAGCAGCAGGAGTGGAGCTGTGTGTTTGGGTGCAGCAGGAGTGGAGCTGTTTGTTTGGGAGCAGCAGGAGTGGAGCTGTTTGTTTGGGAGCAGCAGGAGTGGAGCTGTGTGTTTGGGAGCAGCAGGAGTGGAGCTGTGTGTTTGGGAGCAGCAGGAGTGGAGCTGTGTGTTTGGGAGCAGCAGGAGTGGAGCTGTGTGTTTGGGAGCAGCAGGAGTGGAGCTGTTTGTTTGGGAGCAGCAGGAGTGGAGCTGTTTGTTTGGGAGCAGCAGGAGTGGAGCTGTTTGTTTGGGAGCAGCAGGAGTGGAGCTGTTTGTTTGGGAGCAGCAGGAGTGGAGCTGTGTGTTTGGGAGCAGCAGGAGTGGAGCTGTGTGTTTGGGAGCAGCAGGAGTGGAGCTGTGTGTTTGGGAGCAGCAGGAGTGGAGCTGTTTGTTTGGGAGCAGCAGGAGTGGAGCTGTTTGTTTGGGTGCAGCAGGAGTGGAGCTTTTTGTTTGGGAGCAGCAGGAGTGGAGCTGTTTGTTTGGGTGCAGCAGGAGTGGAGCTGTTTGTTTGGGAGCAGCAGGAGTGGAGCTTTTTGTTTGGGAGCAGCAGGAGTGGAGCTTTTTGTTTGGGAGCAGCAGGAGTGGGGCTTTTTTTTTGGGAGCAGCAGGAGTGGAGCTGTGTGTTTGGGTGCAGCAGGAGTGGAGCTGTGTGTTTGGGAGCAGCAGGAGTTGAGCTGTGTGTTTGGGAGCAGCAGGAGTGGAGCTGTGTGTTTGGGTGCAGCAGGAGTGGAGCTGTGTGTTTGGGAGCAGCAGGAGTGGAGCTGTGATCTTGGAGGTGGAGGTACTGTATATGTTGGATGTGCATGCAAAACTCGGCAGAACAGCGGATATTCCCATAACGTGTGGAGACGTGGCTGGTAGCAGTTTGCCTGCTTGAAACACATTTCTGAGGACCTCTCTCCCTTTTTCTAACATCAATGGCCATCAGGTCCAAGCGACTGGTTTTGTTTCTGGTTTGGAACCCAGACGTCTTGTTTATTACAGCCATGTGTAACGTCAACTACTGACGTAGCTACGCTTGGCGCAGCCTGGTTTATTCGCTCCAAACCAGCTGATGGAAACGCACATTATTTTGCAATTTCTTTTTTTTTCTTTTTTTTTGCGACATTTCAAAAGTACGCTTAAAATTCACATGACAATTAGATGGAAACATGGCTACAGTGTTGAAGAAATCATGCAGGCCTCAAATAGAGACATTATTTATAAACTGTAAACCTTTTTATTCACCGCGGGAGTTTTCCTTGTTTGTCCTGGTCGCTGTTTACATTCCACCTCAGGCCTGTGCTAGTGAGGCGTTACTACACCTGGCCGACCAGATGACTAATGTGGAGAAAAAACATCCAGACTCACTGCTCATTGTTCTCGGGGACTTTAACAAAGCAAACCTCTGGCATGAACTTCCAAAGTACAGACAGCATATTAAGTGTCCCACCAGAGACACTAACACACTGGACCACTGCTACACAATATTAAAGGACGCCTGTCGCTCTGTTCCCCGTGCAGCCTCAGGACTCTCTGATCACTGTCTGGTTCATCTTATCCCGTCTTACCGGCTGCTAAACCTGTTTTAAAGAGGGTGAAAAGATGGACCAGCAAGTCAAAGCTGGAGTTACAGGCCTGCTTTGACTGCACTGACTGGAGGGTCATTGAGGCTGCAGCCACTGACCTGGACCAACTAACTGACACTGCGACATCTTACATCAGTTTTAGTGAGGACATTCGTGTGCCGACCAAAACCTTCCGCACAAACAACCAACCACTGGCTCACAGCAAAACTCAGGCAGCTTCGTCAGACCAAGGAGGAGGCCTTCAGAAGCAGGGACAGAGCCCGGTATAACCAGGCCAGGAACACACTGACTAAAGAGGTCAAAGCTGTAAAGAGGAGCTACGCTGAAAAGCTAGAAAACAGCTTTACAGCCAGCGACCCTGGTTGTAAAGAACAGGTGAACAGGTCAGTGGATGATGCTGTCAACTTGGGTCTGCATCACATCCTGCAACACCTCGACTCTCCAGGGACATATGCAAGGATCCTGTTCGTGGACTTGAGCTCGGCGTTAAACACCATCATCCCGGACATCCTCAGCACCAAACTCACCCAGCTCACTGTGCCAGCCTCCACCTGTCAGTGGATCACAGACTTCCTGACTGACAGGAGTCAGCAGGTGGGGCTGGGGAACATCACATCCAGCACCTGGACTATCAGCACTGGCGGCCCCCAGGGGTGTGTGCTCTCCCCACTGCTCTTCTCCCTCTACACCAACGACTGCACCTCAGGGGACCCATCTGTCAAACTCCTGAAGTTCGCTGACGACACAACGGTCATCGGCCTCATCCGGGACGGTGATGAGTCGGCCTCCAGGCCTATTTCCTTTTCCCTAAGTGGTTATCCCACTTGTCAGGCCGCCATTGTAAAGAAGAAGTGGTTATCCTTCAGGTGGTTCTGTTCCTTCTCTCTGGCTTGGGCGCTTGTTGGTATGTTTTCTGCTCTGTGGTGCAGTGTTCTCATGACCCCTAGCTTGTGCTCCAGTGGGTGGTGTGAATCGAAGAGTAGGTATTGGTCTGTGTGTGTGGGTTTTCTGTAAACACCAATCTGCAGGCTCCTGTCCTCTTCAATGTGTACAGCAGTCCAGGAAGGCCAAACATGAAGGGGGCACTTACAGCCTGTGGATACCCTAAATGGACCTTTGTGAAAACAGCCACAAGATCCAAGAAGGACAACGGTCCAATGCAGTGAGGAATGCACAGACCTGTATATTGGGGAGACTAAACAACCACTACACAAACGCATGGCTCAACACAGAAGGGCCAACTCCTCAGGTCAAGACTCTGTAGTCTACTTACATCTGAAGGACAGAGGACACTCGTTTGAGGACCACCAGGTGCACATTTTAGACAGAGAAGATGGATGGTTTGAAAGAGGTGTCAAGGAAGCATCTACACCAGGGTCGAGAAGCCGTCATTGAACAGGGGAGGGGGTCTACGCCACCACTTATCCCCCACTTACAATGCAGTCCTTTCATCACTTCCCAGGAAACTCAACAAACGTAACCTATTGGCCTCAGGTGAAGATACCAACGATGGTCGTTCAGTCTTGGCCACAGGTAGTCTTAACGACTGTAACGACTGTCGTCACAGCAACCAGGAACACTAACGAACCAGCGGTATCGATGACCCGAGATAACGACCCCACTGAGGTTAAATAGCTAAGTTTCCCTGCCAGTCAGGCAGAACTGAAGAAGTCCTTTGGATGAGGGACGAAACGTCTTCCAGTATCTTCAACCAAGTCCAGTTGCCCTTGATTTTTACCTTCGTTGGATAACTATGACCTGGATGACTGAGAATCTTCATAGACATTTAAGGCCATTTTGAACTGTGCGATGGAAAAATTGTTCAATAAGTTCAATTTAAAAGCCTTTTAAAATAAATTCTGAAATTACACTTTATAATTTTAATAATTAATTCATCGTTAAATACAAAATGAGGAAATAGAGCCATTAACTGGTCGAAAAAAAGCATTACATTTTTATAGATTTATTTAAATGGGTCAGTTGTTAATTAACAAGTTAAAATTATTTCACCTGTTTCCAGCAAAGTTAACAGAACCACAACGATTTGTCATAGATTAGTTTATCACTAGAAAATAAATCAATAACTATTTTCATAATTCATTTTAGTCATTTTAAAAAAGTTAAAGCAAACTTTTTTTCTGGTTCCAGCTTCTCTGATGTGGATTTACATGATGAGGAACTGAATCTTTGGGCTTTACACTGTTGGTCCAAATCTTTTTGAGTACATTGGGCTGTAGGAGTTATAAAGGACTCAATAAACGAATCAATTAATTGAGAAAATAATCAGTAATAATCAGACACTTCAAGTAATGTAACATAACATACAGCTTTATATTCTTTTGAAGGCCATAAAACTCCAGCAAGTTGTAGAGAGAACAGAGAAAGAGACAGAAACATGAATTAATTAATGTTTTAATTAAAATAATCAGCTGATTAATCAACAATGAAAAAATTTGTTAGTTGTAGCCCTCATTTTTTAAATAAAGTGTCATTACACCAGTTTCTCTGTCTTCTCTTCTGTCGACTCTTTTCTGCAAAACTCCTGTAACAAAAAAAGCTGAACTGGAAACAGGTGAAAATTATTTTGTTGCTTATTTTAAAGTAAATGAATCTCAAAAGGCTAAAAAAATATGAGACCACGAAACAGAGAGACAGATTTTGACTCTATCCTAGTGAATTAAATCATCATTAAACTTTCTATGAAAGGACAGAGAAGGAGACGAGAACAGGGACGATGGACAGCAGCAGAGGAACCGAGAGGGGAACCAGGTGAGCGGCTCCAGAGCCCAGGTGGTTGGTGCTGATCTGGCTGTTGATCCAGGACTGATACTGGGACACTCGGGTGTAGACTCCTGGGACATTAGGCAGGGCACAGCCTTCTCCAAAACTCACCACTCCAGCCTGGACCCAGACAGAGCCGTTTTTAGTCACCAGCGGGCCGCCTGAATCCCCCTGCAGACGTCAGACAGGTCGGTTATACTTCATACTTCTGCTCTCAGAGGGAAATACTGTCCTTTTTATTCACCAGTCAGATCTATTGATTAGTGCAGATTTAAACATGTGTGTTATCAGTTGATGGAGGAGTGTTTTGCAGACAGACTCACCTGGCAGGAGTCCTTTCCTCCCTGAGTCACACCAGCACAGATCATGTTGTTTGTGATTTTACCACGGTAGGTAACGTTACAATCACTGTTGGACACGATGGGAACGCTCACCTCCTGCAGCCTCTTTGGGGAAGGAAGTGGAACTGAAAAATGAAAGAGACATTAATGTTGAGTCTGTATCTATTCTTTGTGTCAACAGTGTGTGGCTCACATCTTGTTGTGGTCCAGCAGTCCTTCCCTCTTGTCCTCTGTGTTAAAGTTTGTCAAGCTAAGACACAAGACAAAAGGATTTGGGCCCACAGGACCGTAAGACGTCAGTCCAATGTGTAAACCATCGAGTCACTACTTTCTTTGATCAAACATGCACAAAGTCAGGACTTTTGAACCATTGTAGCTACACCAGTGCAGGATCACTTTGGACTGCTTCTTTCAGCACATGATACCAGAACAGGTTCAGTGGGAACCATTTCATGCAGCCCTGGTTCCTGCAGGAAAGATCCCATTCATCTTTCACATAGACGATGTTTGGTGAGTCACAGCTGAGCACTTTAAGTCTTCGATGGACATAAAACTCTCCTGTTTAAATCATCAGTACAAAACAATTGTGCAATTGTAAAAGAAAATATCCATCCATCCATTTTCTGCCTCTGATCTACAGCAGGGTCTCTGTGGCAGCGGGCTCAGCAAAGAATCCATTACTTCCATTACTTTAGCAAATGTCCTTCATTTAAGATTTTACTTCAGTAAAAGCTTAGAAGTATAAAAGTACCAAAAGTGATTTAGCATTTCTGCAGGTTTACTTGGACTTTTTGCAAAACACAACAATACAAACAAAACATTTTAAAATAACTGTCGAATAAATTTAAATTCTCACTCCCAGTTTGGATTCTCCCCCATCCGGTGACCCAGCAGGTCGTCCCGGCGTTAAAGACGCTGCCGTCCACCGCCAGACACACGGGTCTGATGTAGTCGGTGAAGTTAACAGGTGAGGACAGCTTCAGCAAGGCTATGTCGTTATCGTTCGTGGTGGTGTTATAGTTGGGATGCTGGATGATCTGGGACACAGTCCGGGACATCCCGTTTGTATTCGGCAAGTCTAGGGTGTCAAGACCGAGGTGAACGGTGAGACCGGGTGAGGTGCTGCGAAGCAGAAAAGACAACCTGAATTAAAGCTCAAAACTTGCTGTAATTTCTCTTGTGGAGCAATATGTATCATGTATGTACGCTGCCCTACAAAGCTAAAGCGCAGTAACTACATATTTGGTCAAAATTGAGTTAAGACTTGAAATGGGCTTTATGACATCTGTTCTGTCTTGTGACAAAGTCTCCTACTTTAATTTTGCCCCGTTTCAGAGAAACAAGAGTGTCAAATTTGCAGTAACTACAAAATCCAAGCTAATACCAACGCAAACCGCAGTAAGTGAAGTTACTGCGCTCTGGCTGGCTTTGTTTTCCCGACTTTGACCCCGCGGATACTGCGGTCTGCCTTGGTAGCCTAATCCCAAAGGGAACTGTATTACTGTTTGCCCCGATCGTAACACTCCCTCACACAGAACCACCAAGCCAGATAATATTAGCTTACCATAGAGAAACACCAACACCACCAAGCTATTAAAAACAATCAACATGTAGTAAGAAACAGAACAAGAAAGTTGAATGAGCACATTTGGTTTGTAGATACTGCACTTTTTTAGTTGGTTAAGGTCATCCAACTTTTTGAGGGTCAAAGAGCACATCAGTGGTCCTGGTTTTTATCTCTAAAAAATGTCTTCCTAAGTAGGTATTACATGAATGCATTACCACCGATCTAACCACAACATGTTTGACAGGCTAGTCTCAAAACTTTAAAGGCATTTTTCCCAGTTTCAGTGTTTGCGTAGTTACTGCACTTAGACTTTGTAGGGCAGTACATATTTCATGTATTTATTACAACTTTAATGGTGTCTGATTATTGCTAACAGCATAAAGAAAAACATGCAGTGTGGTTTTAATGTGGGTTACTGAGGCACCCTCATTGCATTCTCTGTTGCTAAGCTTGCACAGGTGAAGTCATGTGACAGGATCGAAGCTCACCTGGAGACACAGTGAGCAGCAGTCAGGACCCACTGGTTGTTGATCAGGGAGCCTCCACAGAAATGATCTCCGTTGGTCTGCAGACTGACCTGCCAGGGCCACGACCCTGCAGGAGCATCCGCCCCTCCTACGATCCTGGTGTTGAGCAGCGCAGTGCCACAAACTGGAGGGAAACAATCAGAATTGATGTATATTCATGTTTTTGGGTCTGGTTTGTTCACAGTATTGTTTCTCTCTGGGTGCCATCATCTGTGTGGATTTGTTTAATCCAGCATGAGCTCGGCTCTAAAGATGATCCTGTCAGTCTGTCTGTCCAGCTCTTTGGTCTGGATGTCTCAACAACTATGGAATAGACGGACATGAAAGTTTGTACAGACCTTCATCTTCCCCTCAGGATGAAATGTAATAACTTTGTTGTTCCTCTGACTTACCATCATACATAGCGCGACCATCAGGTCAACATGTTAATGTGTCCAACGCTTTGCTTTATGACATAAAACCTGCAGAACTACAGACATTCCCGTCAGCATCAGCTGTACTCTGTGTTTACTACTAATTAGCTGATGTTAGTATTAAAGAAGGTACACAATGACTTAAACTTGAACAGTCAGATGGTCTCTGGAATTATAAATCAATACACAACAAATAAATTAATCAGTACACAACATGTTATCAACTTAAAGATATTAGCATGTATGTGCTTGAGTAATAAGCTTGATATAAAGATATCAACATATCTAAGCTAGCATTAGCAGTTCAGCATTAACATTAACATTGTGGCATCCTAATCATTTATAATAATAATAATCATCTTTATTTGTAGAGCACTTTTCAAAAACAAGTTACAAAGTGCTTCAACAAGTGCAAAGACAACAATACATGCAAGAAAACATTGAAAAGACCAAAATACACGTTTAAGATAAATATAAATTAAGTAAAATAGAATAAAATAAAATAAAGTCAAATAAGATCGGGAAAGGCTCTCCTATAAAAGTATGTTTTAAGAAGGGACTTAAAAGAGTTCACTGACTCAGCCGACCTGATTTCCTCGGGCAGACTGTTCCAGAGCCTCGGGGCCCTGACAGCAAACGCTCTGTCCCCTTTAGTTTTCAGTCGAGACTCTGGAACAGACAACAGACCTCTGCCCGAGGATCTCAAGGTACGTGCTGGTGTGTATGGGACTAAAAGGTCAGAAATATAACAAGGCGAGAGGCCATGAAGAGCTTTAAAAGTGATCAATAGAATTTTAAAGTCAATTCTAAAACATACTGGGAGCCAGTGTAATGAAGCTAAAATAGGAGTAATGTGGTCATATTTCTTTGTTCTGGTTAAAAGCCTGGCAGCTGAGTTCTGGACAGTCTGGAGTCGATCAATAGATTTTTGGGTTAAACAGGTGAAAAGGCTGTTGCAATAATCCAGGCGTGATGAGATGAAGGCGTGTAAAATGGTCTCGGTGTCCTTAAAAGTTAACATAGATTGAATTTTTGCTATATTTCTAAGTTGATAAAATCATGATTGAACAAGCTTTGTGGTGTGCTGCTCGAAATTTAAATTACTATCAAACCAAACACCAAGGTTCTTTGCAACAGGCTTAATGTGATTTACTAGGGAACCAGCAGATGGCAGTATTTGATTTGCCATCTGCTGGGACCCGATGACCAGGATTTCTGTTTTGTCTGAGTTCAGCTGGAGGAAATTATTTGACATCCATTTTTTAACTTCACAAAGGCAGTTGTTAAGTGAACTCAGCATTCCAGGGTCTGTGGATCTGACGGGCAAGTATATTTGTGCGTCATCAGCATAAATATGAAAAGAAATGCCATGTTTATGGATAATATGTCCAAGGGGAAGCAGATACAAGCAAAACAAAATGGGTCGTAAAACCGACCCCCGAGGCACACCATATTTAACTGGACAGAACGAAGAGACATAGTTGTTTACAGACACACAAAACTTCCTATTTGACAGGTAGGATGAAAACCATTCTAGGGCAGTACCAGAGATCCCCACCCAGTGCCTCAGTCTGTCTAACATGATGTTGTGATCAATGGTGTCAAAAGCAGCGCTAAGGTCCAGGAGTACCAGGACTCAACACATACCTTCATCAGCAGACATTAAAAGGTCATTGGTGACTTTAAGCAGGGCAGTCTCAGTGCTGTGGTACTTCCTGAAACCAGACTGAAACTTTTCAAATATTTTGTTTTATTATTTTCCAGTACAGTGAGCAGCTGTTTGGACACAATACTTTCTAAAATCTTTGCAATAAAAGGCAGTTTTGAAATTGGTCTAAAATTATGTGGGAGGGAGGGATCTAAACCAGGTTTCTTTAAAAGTGGGTTCACGCAAGCCGTTTTAAAATAATCAGGGACACAACCAGTAGATAGGGAGCTGTTGAAAACAGAGATCAAATGGGGCCCAACAGAATCTATTACTTTCAGTAAAAATTTTGTAGGTATTACATCAAGTGGGCTGGAGGACACTCTCATTTGTGATACTGTTTTTAAAAGCTCAGACAAGTCGATGGGATAAAACTGGTTAAAACTCTGTTGTTGCTGGTGAGGAACCTCTGAGTAAGAGGCAGTGGGGATAATAGAGGCTCTGATTGACACCACCTTATTGGTAAAGATAAAAGTCTTACTTGAAAGTGATCTCACACTGAAGAGAGCCATTTTAAATTAGTTTGTTCTGGGTGCTGGAGTTGGTGCAGTTGTCCTAATCCTTAAGAGATTACTAATATTTCTGTGTGGGATGTGCACATTTCGGTTTACTGGTCTATGCGTGATGATGACAGGAATAGAAGTCTTTGGAACAGCGCTGGGAGCAGACGGCTTTACATGCCAGCAGGTGGAGACAGTTGTAGCAGTCACAGACCTGAGAGAGGGGCTACCTAGGGTAGAGACGGCCTCCGGAGCGTCTGAGCACAGCCTCCTTCAGGATCCTACGTCGGGAAGCGGTGGTTTTTGACCAGGATGATGGCCGCCGATCAGGCCTGCATAGCGGTGATAAATGACCAATGACTGGTCCACAGCTAAACCTGAATTAACAAACCATCATAACATGGTACGCAGGCTAGGCAACAATAATAAACATAACTAATTACGCATTAGCCAACTTACATTTGTGCATTCACACACATGCTGTTCAGTTCAGATGCCGACAGTCCAAGTCAGATGAACAATTACGGCAGCGGCACACGTAAAGGACCCCTTAGTTTCCTTACTCACAGTCTGAACGAATTTCCATACAATTACCATACATTATGCAACAATGCCACCTGCTGGTGGAATATGGGAATTCAGAACAGTTAGCATGCTAACAGTCTAAAGTAAGATGGTGAACATGATAAACATGCTAACATTAACATTTAGCTCAAAGCCCTGCTTCCCCTCGCAAACATTTGATGTGTATCAGTGTGCAGCAGGGACACCATCAAACTCTTATTTTGATCTAAAGAGTTTACAGACCAGAAATGACAAAGAATAATTTGAACGAGGTAGAGAGAAATCACCTCAAAGATTTATGAAGCTCAGTTTGACTGTGAAATCCATTTCTTCACTGTGAATGAGCTGTTCAGATGAACATCAAGCTCAGATCTGTGTGTGAAAATAGAGCTGGGGGGCAATTAGCTTAGCTTAGCATAAAGACTGGAGGCAGTGGAAATCAGCTAGCCTGACTCTGTTCAAAGTTCAAAAATATTTATAATAAAATTTCTCTACAGTATGTTGAGATCATGATCCTCTCGTCTTACTCTCAAGTCAAACCTGCTCAGTATTTTGCCCAGACTGTTGAGATCAGAAAAGTTGGGTAATTTGGTATGTAATTTTAAAACACATTTTGATGTATTTTTGTCCATCCCTGCAGGTCCTGCCCAGATCAAGATTCAAGAAAAGTTCCCTACAAACAAAGGAAGGATCTCCATTTTCAATGATCTCACAACAACAAACCAAAAGATGAACAAATACAAGTTGAACATTCACAGACAGAGAGAGAGTTCACTCTCTGTCTACCTTTGTGAAGTCAAATAATTTCCTGCAGCTGTACTCAGACAAAACAGAGATCCTTGTCATTGGCAAAGCAAATACTGCCATCTGCTGATTCCATAGTGGATCAAGCCTGTTTCAAAGAATATTGGCATCTGTTATACGGTGATTTAAGTTTGAGCAGCACACCACAAAGCTCCTCTCCGGGAACCATCACCTTATCGTTGTGGAGAGGTTTGCGTGCCCCGGTGAACCTGGAGGCTGTGTTGTCTGGAGCCTAGTGCTCCTGGTAGGGTCTCCCAAGGCAAAGTGGTTCCAGGTGAGGGTCCAGACTGGTTCACAAAGACCCCTGATGCTGGAGCTGCTGCCCCCGCGACCCGACCCCGGATAAGCGGATGAAGATGGATGGATGGACCAACCACAAAGCTTGTGCAATCATGTTTTTATCATCTTAGAAATATATCAAAAATATGATCTTTGTTAACTTTCAAATTCAACTCACCACACCTAGATTACTGCAACAGTTTTACCTGCTGCTCACAAAATTATTTTGCAAATAGAAAACAGATCTGCAAACACACAAACAAATTAAACAAATAATAAAAATGTCTGTGAATATATTTCATAGTTTACAAATAAATTAACCACATTTGTGAAGATCTTCCCAACATTTGTCACTTTCAAACAGGCATTTGTGTGTCCCGCCTGTATTTGTCGATCACAGTTCCTCACACACGTAGTTTAGAAACAAAGTTTCCGCCGGTTGGAAAGAAAATCGACTTGTGACGTTTGCTGTTTTCGGAGACCACGTGATGATGCCTGCGGACGCCCGCTGATGACGCCCGTTGATGACGTCATTTCCATTTTTCAAAGTAAAACGGCCTCCGAAGTGCCTGAATGTGCATGGCTTGTTGCTATCGCAAAGGAAATATCAGCAGCTGTTTCAACAAAATGTGAATGCAGACTGAAATTCAACCGTGTTGTTGTGTCGGGAGAGGCAGCGATTCAAACCAGTGGTGAGTAAGAAATCGTTTAATTATATAATGTTTTAAGCTATGAGCACAGGGAAAGTACGCCAGCCGCTAGGCTAATTTCAGCAGTTTGAAAATACCACAGGCTCTAGCTAATAATGGTGTTTAGCAAAACGAAAAACCAAGACTATGAGCCGAATGTTTGCTAAAAGTTGTGAGGTGTGAGCTATGTGTGTTAGTGGACTGTACTGAATTTACAAGGAATTTGAAAGCTGTAAATGTTAGGAAGATATTAACAAATGTGGTTCAGTTTTTTGTAAACTATTATATATATTCAAAGATATTTTTATTATTTGTGGAATTTGTTTCTGTTTTTGCAGATCTGTTTTCTATTTGCAAAATATTTTTGTGAGTTTACAAATCTTCATTATGTGTTTGTTCAAAGTGTTTTATATTTACAGATTACAAATTTACACACACATCGCTCATCTGTTCACACAAATAATATTGAAAAATAAAAATAAATACCCCCATAGACTCCAGACTGTCCTGAACTCAGCTGCCAGGCACGAGGACCAGAACCAAGGAACGTGATCACATTGCTCCTGTTTTAGTTTTATTACATTGGCTCCCACAGTGTTCTAAGACTTTCAGTTTTTATTAAGTACTTGTAAGCCTCTCTCCCTGCTGTTTCTCTGACCTTCTAGGTCATGCAGCTATGTACCAGGACAAACTCTGAGATCCCCAGGCAGAGGTCTGCTGTTGGGTCCAGAGGCTGATAACTAAAGGGGACCCAGTGTTTGCATTCAGTCGGCTGAGTCAGTGAACTCTGTGAGTCTCTTCTTTAAACACACTTCTATCTGAAAGCCTTTCCTGATTTTACTTGACTTTACTTTTAGTTTCTTCAAACTGTATTTGAATTATTTCTGAATTTTACTTTTATCTATTTTATATTTAAACCTGATGTTTTTTTTACGATCTGTGTGTTTTATTTTCTGACCTTGTGAAAGTAACTTTGAAAGATAAAAATATAAAGAAGCTTGTTAGCATGTTAGCATGCTGCTGGAAGCACAGCAGGAGCTGATGTAAAATTCAGTTTTTGGACGTTTTGGACAGGAAGCTGGATGAAAAGTCAGAGGATCACCAAAGTTACTTCCTGAGGGAAACATGAATGTTTGAACCACACTTCATCACAATTTAACTAATATCTGTGGAGAGACAGTATTTGACTCTAATGGAGCTTCTAAAATGCAACTAAAAGCTGCTTTTCAAACCTGCAGTGGATTAATGTTGAGGATGACTGCTTTAAACTCAGAAGAAAACAGAAATCCAATGAACAAAAGAAAGAATGAGGATATAACTCACCATCTGACTGCGCATTGCTTCCTGCAGGAGAGACAAAGAACAATACATTTAGTCACAGGAAACTATTTGTTTGATTGTGCAGTGATGATAATCTACATGAAACTAAGATGGTTTTGACAGACATATTTAGATTTCTGAGAACAAAAGCAACCGGTTCCTCCTGTGTTCCTGAGGCCCCATCTGTATCTTTTAAATGCAGAATTCTGCTATGTTTCCACCTCCCATCCAGACTAAAACAGAGAAGTCTGAAAATGCTTCCGACCCCGTCTTTGTTTTTAAGCTCCAGGGTAGTGTTTTAGTGTGGACAGGCGAAAACAGAGGACAGTAAAAATGATTATACAGACACTCAAGTTTGGCTTCCTGATTGGCTCTAATCAGTCATGCAAAGCAGAAACACGATGCTACTGACAGAGTTCTAGCTTTGGTGTTTTATTAAAATATTTTATACTGTGTAAATAACACTTCTACACTTGTACTGTTTATGTCTCCGTATTTACTTTGCGACGACTCCCAGTCTTTCAGCCGCCACAGTCGCTTTGGACTACATTCAGTAACAGTTCCACCTCGTTGTCGATCCATGCAAAGAAATCTCTGGTGTGCTTCTTCGTCTGCATTATTTTCTTCTTTCGCCAAACCTTCTGCAACTTGCGTTGTTTTAATATAAACGGAGATCAATTCTGATACGCAGCTAAAACGCTGCTGTGGACAGAGAACGTATTCATTTTAAAACTCTGTTTTTAAACAAAAACGTAGTAGCGTGGATGTAGCCTGAGACACTCAAGTCATCAACTTTAATTCACTTATTGATTATTTAAATAAACTCAAGAAATTGTTTTACTACAAAAAATTGACACAGATGCATTTCTTAATTTATTAATCTAATAAAACTTTGTATCAGTCTCCTGTCAACACACAGAGCGTGAAAATGCCTGTTCTTGTTTTCAAGTTCAGTCAAATATTTCTGCATGTTGCAAGTGTCTGAACTGGCTGTGAGTAGATAATTACACAAAAACAGAAGAGTCAGTTTCTTCTATCTAGATTTCTTTTCATTATGAACACAAAAACAAATCAGGGGATCAACTAAGATAAAATTTTACAGCACTCACCTGTAACCGCTAAGACCACGAGCACGACGCCACAAACCAACACTCTGACCTCCATCGTGCGACTCTATTAACTGTGTCTTGTCATCAGTGGAGGATTTTATCAGTGGATAGACCGCCTGGACAGGCTGCTCACGCCCTTCTTTACCAACAAACAAAAGTAACACTTTCTATGGCCCGGGGCATTGCACTGCTGCTGCTGTGTCTACTTTTTGGAATCAGTTTTTATTGGCCAGGTATGCTTTATTAGATTAACCAATATTGTTTCTATATTGTTTTTTCTGACCATACTGTTTGCTGGTTTACCAATTATTTAGTGGATAGAACTCAGTGTGGTTATATTGCCTCAAATCAGCAACAATGAATGTATCTATACCACAAGTGTCAGTCTTGGGTCCAATTTTATCACTATTTATATTGATAACTTCGGTCAAGACTTCCCACAGTCTCATTTCCATTTCTATGCTGATGACACCGTTATTTATTGCGGTGCTGCTATTATCAGTCAAGCTTTTTCGTAGTTACAAACTGCTTTTAAGGTTGTTTAAGTACAACTGTATCAGCTAAAGATAGTTTTGAATGTTAAGAAAACTAAGCTTGTGTTTTTTTCAAAATCTAAGAAAATTGTGAGATTCTTCCGAGCATTTTTACGATGCAGGGTGAGCAGATCAAGCAAGTCCAAATGTACAAATTCTTATCTTTGCACATACATTGTACGTCAAGTAACACCAGTTCCTATAATTTGCGCTCTAGTGAATTGTACTTGTTGTCTGTTGCTCTTCACAGATCGCTCCACGATCCTCGGAGCACAAAAAAGAGCTTTGGGACAGTCTGCAAGATGACGGAGCAGAACAACTTCCGGTTCGAGCGAGTAGCGAGAAAAACACAAATAAAGGAATTGAGAAGCACCCCTAGACTGACCTCCATCTCTGCCTAACACACATTTGCTCAGGTTTTTATGTTGCAGCCAGATGCAGAGAGAAGCACACACACACAGACTTAATAAGTTGAGAGTCGTTGCAAAGTAAATGCGGCGACATGCACAGTACAAGTGTAGGCAGATAAGTGTTATTTGCACGGTACATAATATTTTAATAAAAATACCATGTCAGAAACCCGGTCAGTAGCATCGTGTTTCTGCTTTGCATGACTTCTACGACCCAATCAGAGAGCCGAGCGTGAGCGGCTGCGTCATCGTTTCTAAAATCCTCCGTTTTGTCCCGTCTTCACTAAAACACCTTCCGGAGTTTTGAAACGAAACTGTATATAAGAAGTGGACGTAGTCATCGTGAAAACACCCGGTTGGTAGACGGTTGGTAGAGGTGTTTTGAAGCTTAAGCCCTCTATGTAGTTACCGAATATATTGGTGTATGATTTGAAAAGACAGTTTTCACACAAATCATTATTAAGTAAGTAAGTACACTTTATTTATATCGCACATTTCACAGACAAGAGGGGTCACAAAGTGCTTTACAGTAAAAAATAAAATAAAAACAAATAAAAATAACACGTAAACTACAGAACCATTCGGCCAGTAAAATGTTTGTCTAAAAAGATTAGATAAAGCATAAGACATTAGTCACTATCTAACACATTAACCTTTTCATTAACAGGAGACATGACATGCCGACAAGTCTTTGACCTACAATAGTCCAATACAAGTTCATATTAGTACAAAGTGGATCCACTCTGTAACATGGAGCCTCTTTCATAGCCTGTAGACCTTCAGGATAATACTTGTTTAAATCCATGTTTCCCAAACTTAGTTTCGGGACCCAAAATGAGTCGCAGGCCCATTTTAACTGGGCGTCAATATTGTGTAATATGTGGAGAAGTGCTCAGTAATGAGGGTTTGGTTTTAAAATGAATAATTTGGACAGGTATCTCCAAACAAAACATTCCCTGTATCTGGGAAAGTCAAAATATTTTGTTTTTCTTTGCAAAGAAGAATCCTTCGAGATGTGTTGATTCAATTTGACACAACATGCTTGTGTGAATCTGGCTATCCAACTCTAGCATGCCTGAAAAACCAATTCATAAATACATTTTATATACATAGTTTGTTTTGCCCTTTGTCCATAGTTTGTAAATTTGTAAATTTGGGTCCCAGGGAGACACCAGATTTCTCTTTCAGGTTATAGCAGAAAACATTTGGGAACCAGTGGTTTACACACTGTGAAACTGTGGCGGTTTTGGGGGGGAGCCAACAGGGGCCAGTGCCCCTGGAACACAGACCTTGGACCCCCCTATGGCACCAGCCCTATTGAATTGGCGGCCCGCAGGCCACATCTCGCCCAAAGCAACCTCCAGCCAATATTCTAATCTAGTGAGATATTAGTCCTGTTGCTGCTCTAGAAACAACATTTAGTTAATAATATAATGTTAAATTATTTTTTAAAATAATATATGCAATTATTTAGTAATAAATACGACATTGACAAAGAACTGAACCAATAAGGATTAAAAGTGTGTCAATAAAATCCTAATGATCCCAATTTCTGAGAAGATTTCCACCCCATCTCTGTCCTGGTTTTAAAATCTGGCCCAATTGAATCTGTAATTGAACAGCCCTGGTCTACAGTAATCATAGAAATATATCTTCCTTGCAACGAATAAAACTGACTGCAGCATTGTGGACAATATTTTGGCCTTGTAATCCATGTTTCCATTGCACAGATAGCCTTTGGATATTGCTGGAAATGGAGTCCCCCTCCTTAAAGGGTAAATTATTATCATAACAATTTAATAATGCATTGACAGCACTTTTCATACACAAATAGCGATACCAGTAACCTACTGGCTCTACCACGCTGGACATGCAGTCTGCCAAAATATGTATCCCTGTCCATAATGCACAGATGATGGCCTACTATCAAGTATTTAATTCTGTGTATACTTAACATGGAGACGTTTGTTTCCTAGCAAAAGTTATAGTGGGATGCAAAATACAAACTGGGATCCTGAGAATGTCTAGTACACTAGAGCTTACACTGTTCATTAAGCCTTACAAAGAAGTGTTGCATCAAAGAATGTAACTTGATCTAAAGTTAACAGGAACGTTGTTTTTTTGAATAATGTAACTTAATAAAACTAAGTTACGGAAAAGATCCTGTTACTGAAACAAATACCTGTAAGTTACAGAAACATACTAAAACATTACATTATATACTAAACAAAATATTTTGAAAGCTTGAACTTTGCCTTTGTCTCTTTTGTCCCAGATTGAATGGGCCCCTCTGACAAAACAACTGGCCCCAGCCTGGCCCCCTCAATACAATTGGTCTAGAACCGCCACTGCTGTGAAATAATCAATAATTGTAACACTAGTCTTTCGTCACTATTTTCAATAGCTACCAAGAAGTAGTAGTTGTTGTTTTTGTTGTTGTCTGGTTTATTAGAAATAAGAAAATAAGTGAAATTTGGACAAATGGAGGAACACACGTATTATATAGTGTAAGACCCAACAGAGCATGATTTGATTTGATTTTATTGGACGGTTAGACAAATAAATGCATAAAAAGACGCCAACACAGTGACAATATACATTTATCAGAACTGTTGAGGATAACACAAGAAAGTTGCAAACTTATTTCAATTGTGGTCCTCGTTGTACTCTCATAAAGATGGCAAGGCAAGCTACGGATGTCTAAAAGGTACCTGTACAATCAACCCTTACAAAATACCACAAATCACAACCACAAACCACAAATACATGCACTACAATAAAAAATATTCCTTAAGACTGCATGAAAACTCAATCTAATTAGCATTTAACAACCATTCACCACATTAAAACAGCGACCTGACCGGCTTAACTTAATCTCAACTGGGAGTTTGTTCCTTTCCAATGCTGCCTTGTACAAAAAGGTGTTTTGCCCAAGAACAGCTGTAAAATCTATAAGGTACTATGTCAGTGGCACTGCCTCTGTGAGAGTTACGAATAAGCTTAATATAATCTTTACCTTGGCTTACATTTGCATTTTCCTTTCTCAGCTCAGGAGTTTTTTGTTTTCCTTTTCCTGCCATTTGTTTTCCTTCATCTAACATTTGTTTGCTGCTGTTTTTTGTACTTGTTCTTTTATCTATTTAAGGAGAAGAAATGCTGAGTTCGGGAGAGTAACTGTGCGTTCTCTCCGTGGCCACGTTACATAAAGAATGATTCATCACATCTATTTGACTCCGTATTCTTTGGGAAGGAATTATTTTTCCTGACAATTCCTATGCACAATCTTTCGTCTTAGTCTCAGTTTCAACTGCCTCACCTGCCACTTTAAATCCTTAAGTTCAGAAGAGCCGGCGTGGGTCCTGTTGTTGAGGTTGAAGATCAGCCTGACTGTTGAACTTTTATCCTCTTGGAGGTGCTGCTGTATCATGTAGTACAGTCATGATCAAAGCGTGGCTGAATTAAGATTCTTTATAAAATGAGACTTACACGCCAGAAATTAAATTCTTTGGTTCACTTTTGTGATGACCCTTTGACCCATACTTTCTCCACTCGAGGAACTATCTAATGCACATCCTAAATATTTACCACAAGTTTTAACTGCAGTCTGGGTACCACTGAGCTCCAGGGCCCTGTTTCAGAAAGCAGGCTTAACAAACTCCCCTGAGCTCTGAGTTGATTGAGCTCAATCCTGTGACATCACAGGGATGAAAGCGACAAACAAGCTGTTTTCAAGCAGTCAGAGTTTTCTGCGGGAGATTTTCTTTGGGCTGGACTTACATGCACAAAAAAGGGATATAACTCAATAAAGGAGAGGGAAAAGGGCAAAAAGCAGAATACCACCTCTTAAATAAATGACCGGCCCCTAAGGTGCATCAGCCCAACAGGAAAATGTCAGATTACCAGTCCAGCGCTGATAAAAAGTAACATTCAAGTTGAACTTACTCATGTAAAAGTAGTCATTATGTAAAATGACCCGAATCAAGAGTGTTTATTGCTCCCTCACTGCTGCCCAGTGTCACTTTCCTTGCTTGCTTCAAACAATGAGACAATTTTAAATTGATTGAAATTTATTTTTAAGCATCATGACTCATATTGATTAAAAGAAAATGTTTATTTAAGATGATGAACAAACTGTCGTTGTGTTAAATGTATTTGAAAAAGCTTTACAGATACCAAACAGATAGAAACACCTGTAAAAGTTTAACCAGTCACACATACTGCTGATACTGTTAGAGGCCTGAGTGTGTGTGTGTGTGTGTTATATTTGACTTTCCCATTAATGTAAAATTAAAAATCAAAGTTGCAAGTGTTCAGTGCAAAAACAAGACATTAACAGTTATAGTTATTAATTCAAGTCTTCACCGTCAATCAGCAACATCAGCAACCTTCATAAACTTCTAATATTCAGTATCTGTCCAAATGTTTAACAGCAGAAAGACTCAGTGTTGTTTGTATGTTTGTTCAGTTTCAGGCCAAAATCTGTTCAGACTTCACTGACTTTAATAAACTATTATGGGAGTCTGGAGTCACTGAAATGATTATAAACTTCTCGTGTTTAATTGTAACCATGTTAATAAATTTGCCACTTTTAGAAGGAGCTTTGTTAAATTGACCAGTTTAAATGACGTATTGTGAAACTTAAGGTAAATTAACTTGTTTAATTAATATATATTGTGTTTTTAAATGGAATTTATTTAAAATTGATCAAAAAATGGATATTAAACGTCAAAGAGAAAAAATAAATGAACTGTGCGATGGAAAATCGTTCAATAAGTTAATTTTAAAAGTCTTTTAAACAAATTCTGTCTCTATTTGCATTTTGAAATTTTAATAATTAATTCATCATTAAAGACAAAATAAGGAAATAGAGCAATTAACTGGTCAATTTAATTGTCTTTTGTTGTATTTTTTACTTTGAGTTTAACTATGACACTCAGGCTCATTATTCATTACGTTTAAGACAGTCGGCACTAAAAAGTTTCCACTGAATTGAAAATCCTGAGAAAAAGGCTAAAATTATTTCACCTGTTTAAAGAACAGTTAGTAGAAGCGCCACGATTGGTTATAGATTTGTTAATCAATAGAAAACTATTTTCTTATATATATCTTTGGGTTTTTGTTGGGCTGTGTGAAGTTATAAAAGGACACATTTCTCTAGTTTCTCCCATTTTAAAGACAAAACAATTAATCAATTAATGTTAATACTGAAAACATTCCTTTGTCATTAAACCAGTTTCTCTCTCTTCTCTTCTGTCGACTCTTTTCTGCAAAACTCCTTCAACACAAGAAGCTGGAAACAGGGTGGAAACATTTTGTTGCTTGTTTTAAGAGAGGCAGAGAGTTTGACTCTATCCTGGTGCGTTAATCATAAAACTTCCTATGAAAGGACAGAGAAGGAGAAGGCAACAGGTACGATGGACAGCAGCAGAGGAACCGAGAGGGGAACCAGGTGAGCAGTTCCAAAGAGGACGAAGCCCGGCTGGTTGGTTGGGATCTGGCTGTTGATCCAGGACTGATACTGGGACACTCGGGTGAAGCCTTCTGGGACATTAGGCACGGCACAGCCTGTTTCTAAAACAAAACTCACCACTCCAGCCTGGATCCAGACAGAGCCGTTATTTTTCACCAACGGGCCGCCTGAATCCCCCTGCAGACGTCAGACAGGTCATTATACTTCATACTTCTACTACCTCAGATCTATTGATTGATTAAAACATGTGTGTTATCACTTGATGGAGGAGTGTTTTGCAGACAAACTCACAAAGCAGGTGCCCTGTCCTCCCTGGGTCACACCGGCACAGATCATGTTGTTTGTGATTATACCACCGTAGACAACGTTACAATCACTGTTGGACACGATGGGAAGAATCTCCTCCTGCAGCCTCTTTGGGGAAGGAAGAGGAGCTGAAAAAGAAAAGGAGATATTAACGTTGTGTCTGTATACAGAGATTGATTATCATGCTCGAGGATTGAGGAGGTACAAATTTGGGAAATGACCAGTGTGGCTGGAATTCTCCTCTCCTGCTGATAATCAGCTAATTGGGGCCCCTGCTTTGCTGCTCCTGATCAGCTCTCCTATAAAAGAGCTTTCCAGTCTCTGCTGGATTGCTAAGTCACTTTAGTGAGTATAGACGCCCAGGCCCATCTCGTTGACGCAGCTCATTCTGTGTTTGTTGATCAACAAATCCCGCTGTCCTCTGCAGGTCTTAAAGCCCTGTTCACCTGTTCTGTCGCCAGACCTGAAACTCAACCTAGCTACATGGAGAACCAGCCTCTAATTACCACCCACGCCAACAAGCCAGTCTGCCCGTGACTCCTGTCGCTATCAGCCCGCCCTCACAGAGATCTTCAGTAGGAACCAGTGCTGAGGGACGGACTGCCATGTTTTTGGTTTGAGTCTTTTCATTAGATTTGTTGACCAGAAGAAAAATGCAGAACAATAACCGGCCTTGTCCTTTAAACTTAAATAAATTGGCCTACACAGTGTTAGTCCGCCTTGTTGACTTTGACCTGGGGCAGCCCAAAATCAGTGCATACCTGCCTTAAAGGTTGCTTGATGGTAGAATTACTTCCCTGTAGGGAATATAATCTGATGTTTTCTTGTTTAAACAGGACTGTGAGGTGTAAACTAATGAGCTTTTAATCACTTTCATTTGATCAAACATGCAGAAAGTCTACACCAGTGCAGGATCAATTTTAACTGCTCCTCTCAGCTCGTGATACCAGAACAAGCTCAGTGGTTTCTGTTTCAGGCAGTCCTGGTTCCTGCAGGAAAGATCCCATTCATCTTTCACATAGACGATGTTTGGTGAGTCACTTTGTTGAGTACTTCAAGTCTTGGATGGACATGAAACTCTCCTGTTTAAGATGAACAACTGTGAAATAAAATATCCATACGTCCATTTTCTGCCTCTGATTTACTTCCATTACTCTCCATTCCTTTAGTAAATGTCCTGCATTCAAAATGTTCAATATGAGCACGGAAATATAGCGACAAAGTATTTTTTTTTTAGGTTTTACTTGGGCTTACGTCATCTTGTCGCCTCTGCAGTGCTTCTGATTTATATAAAAGTGTGGTGTCATTTGCAAAACACTACAATAAAAACTGAATTAATCTATAAAATCATTCACTATTAACAAAACATTTAAAAGCTATCAAATTGATTTCAATTCTCACTGTTAGTTTGGATGTTTCCCCATCCGGTGACCCAGCAGCTTGTCCTGGCTTTAAAGACGCTGCCGCCAGCCGCCAAACAAACGGGTCTGATGAAGTCGGTGAAGGTAACAGGTGAGGACAGCTGCACCAAGGCTATGTCGTTGTTGAGCGTGTTTTCATCATAGTTAGGATTTACGATGATCTGGGACACAGTCAGGGAGATTCCGTTTGTATTCGGCAAGTCTAGGGCGTCGCGGCCGAGGTTAACGGTGAAACCAGATGGGGTGCTGAGAAGCAGAAAAGACAACATGTTTAAATATGTGACACACGCTGGTGCTGACTGTGCATGAATTTTAGACTAAAATGTTTTTTTTTTTGTCTGAGACATGTGACAGGATCAGAGCTCACCTTCTGACACAGTGAGCAGCAGTCAGGACCCACTGGTTGTTGATCAGGGAGCCTCCACAGAAATGAAATCCGTTGCTCTGCAGACTGGCCTGCCAGGGCCACGACCCTGCAGGAGCATCCGCCCCTCCTACGATCCTGCTGTTGAGAGGTGCAGCACCACAAACTGGAGGGAAACAGTCTGAATAATCAGGTGTTCGTGTTGTTTACTTTATTGTTTCTCTCTTCATCTGTGTGGATTTGTTTAATCCGGCATGAGCTCGGCTCTAAAGATGATCCTGTCTGTCCAGCTCTTTGGTCTGGATGTCTCAACAACTATGGGAAGGATTGTGATGAAACACTTCATGTTCCCCTCACGATGAACTGTAATAACTTTGGTGTTCCTCTGACTTTCCATCTAGCGCCACCATCAGGTCAACATGTTAATGTGTTCAACACTTAGACATTCCCGTCAGCCTCAGCTGTTAGCATTGTTATTGTGAGCTCAACAACATACAATATAAACAGAACAGAAAGAATGAGGATATAACTCACCATCTAACTGCGCGTTGCTTCCTGTAAGAGAGACAAAGAACAACACATTCAGTCACTTACAGGACTGTCTGCTCATTTGATGTCTATTGAGGATCCCTACATGAAACTAAAATGGTATTAATGTCATATTTATTTATTTCCTAGAAGAAAACCAACCGGTTTCATTTTTGACTTTTATTCACATTGTTCTCTTTTATTTATTTAAGTAAACTTTAAAAATAAATTGACAGAGATGCATTTCTTAATTTTGTAATCTAATAAAACTGTGAATCAGTCTCCTGTCAACACACAGAGTCAGACTGACGGCTGTTCTTTTCAAGTTCAAATATTTCTGTTGGTTCCTCAGGCTTACTTTCCCAGTCCAGAGAGGAAAACCCGGGTTAACACATAAACTTACATACATTTAAACAAAGTGTCTGAATTCGCTATAACTAGATAATTACACAGAATCAGAATGGTCAATATCTTCTATTTAGCTTTATTTTCATTATGAACAGAAAAGAAATCTGGTGATCTACTGACACAATATTTAAAAGCACTCACCTGTAACCGATAAGACCACGAGCACGACGCCACAAACCAACAGTTTGACCTCCATGGTGCGACTCTACCAACTGTGTCTTGTCATAAGTGGAGGAGTTTATCAGTGGATAAACCGCCTGGACCGGCCGCTCACGCCCTTTTTTACCAGCAAACCAAAGAAACACTTTCTATGGCCCCGAGCGTTGCGCTGCTGCTGCTGCTGCTGTGCCTACTTTTTGGAATCACAATCACTTTCATTTGCCAGGTATGTACACAAAGCATCCAAGGAGTTTGAATCTGGGTTTAGATCCCTCTAAGTGTACAAAGTTCAGGCTTCACGTCACATACACATAAAAAATAATTATAAGAATAACAAAACAGAAAATGCACACAATACATGTTTATTAAGTTACTTTTACGTGCAAAGGTGACTTCAGCATTAACAACACAAGTGGGACGACTGCATGGCAGTAAAAGTAGATTGCCTGAGGGACCTCTTCTTCCCGGAATTTGTCCTGAACCCCGTTTTAAACACCGAACATCAGAAACAGGATCAGAAAGAGCTTCAACGCAAAGTAGAGTTCCACGTACAAGGAATTGGCTTTGGTGCCCAGGTCCATCTATCCGTCTTCAACCGCTTATCTCTCTCTGTAGGCTCTGTAGACCAACTGAAGGGGGTCCGTCCAGGAGAGGGTCTGTGATGGTTTTGAGGTGGGACAACACAAAGCGCTCAAAAGGCTTCATGACCACAGAGTTCTACAGTTACAGCCATATGCAAAAGTTTAGGCACCCCTGACAATTTCAGTGATTTTCATTTATAAATAATTGGGTGTTTGGATCAGCAATTTAGTTTTGAGCCATCAAGTAACTGAAGGACACAGTAATATTTCAGTAGTGAAATGAGGTTCATTAGATGAATAGAAAATGTGCAATATGCATCAAAACACTAATAGACAGGTGCATAAATTTGGGCTTCCTATAGCCTGTAATGAGTGTCTGGATTCTGGATGAAGGTATTTTTGGACCATTTTGCGACTGATTCCTCTACATTATTCTCAAATATCTGCTGATATTGAGTGGAGTCGAGACTCCCAGTACCGGCACTGGCCACACAGCCCCGCTGCATGATGGAACCTCCACCAAACTTTACTGAGGGTAGCAAGTTTTTGTCTTGGAACGCTGTGTTCTTTTGCCGCCACGCGTAACGCCCCTTGTTATGATCAAACACCTCCATCTTTGTTTCATCAGTCCACAGCACCATCTTCTTCAAAAATGAAGCAGGCTTGTCCACATGTGCGACCACAAGCGTGACTGTTTGTGGCGTGTGTGCAGAAAAGGCCTCTTCCGCATCTCCCTCCCGTACAGCTTCTCCTTGTGCAAAGTGCGCTGAATTATTGAACGATGCACCTTTCTCTCCATCCTTCACCTCTCCAATGTTTTACTTGGCCTGCCACTTCTGGCCTTAACAAGAACTGTGCCTCTGGTCTTCCGTTTCCTCCCTATGTTCCTCACAGTGGACACTGACAGCTTAAATCTCTGCGATAGCTTTTTGTATAGCCTTCCCCTAAACCATAATGTTGGACAATCTTTATTTTCAGGGGCCGGTTGCACAAAAAACCTTAAGTTAAGAATTTCCTTAAAGTCCGAGTTAAGGTTTCTTTAAAATACATTCGGTTGCACAAAACACTCTTATATGAAACCTTAAGGTGAAGATAAACCTCAAATACTTAAGTGATCACTGAAGTATTTGAGGTTTTCTCCTCCCATCTTGGTCTTATACTTAAGGTATCCCTTAAGTGTGTTATACCGTTGCATAAAAGACCTTAGCAACCAAACTAAGGAAAAGAATTTAAGGTACCTCTGGATTTATCTTAACCGCAACACGGTTGAGTTTATGGCGATAAATGAAGAAAATTCACATATCCTGAGAAGACTCAATGGATACGCTAAACGATGAGCAAAACAAGAAGGCTGTCAAATTTATCGCTTTAGCAACACAGTCTAGTTTAGATCTATAGCGTACATAAAGTTATTCTCACCAGTTTTATTGGGTTCCTTTTTATACTTGGTGATCTATTTCTTGGCAAGTACAGACAAGTTGTCGTACTTATTTTGGATCTCCTGGATGAACCTCTTCACAACTCGACTCCTTGAATTAATTTGCGAAATGCTTTCCTCCCACATTTCTTGTTTTCTGTTTGCTGTTATTTGCAGATCAAATACCTGCTCTCTTTTATGAAATTCCTCCAGCAGTACGATATGTTCCTCCTCTCACCAATTTTGTTTTTCTTGTCTTCTTTTCTTTCCAACTTTGTACGGTGATAACAGGTCAAGTGCTGGTGCAAGCAAACAGTCTCCATGGTAACAGTAAAACTTTACTACTGTAAATTCTCTATCAGTGTAGCAAACACCTTAAAGCATTTCCTTAACTAAGGAAACCTTTAAAGGGATCCTGTGCAACACCCTAACAGCTAAGGCTAATTAAGACTATCACACTTAAGGAAAAAACTTTTGTGGTAATTTGAGAGTTGTTTTGAGGGCCCCATGTTGCCAGAACAACAACTTGCAATTGGTTGCTAGGTAGTTACAGGTATTCAAATCAACAAAATGACAAGGGTGCCATATTTATGCACCTGTCTACTTTCATTTTGATGCATATTGCACGTTTTCTGTTCATCCAATGAACCTCGTTTCACTACCGAAATATTACTGTCTCCTTCAGTTACTTGATAGCTCAAAATGAAAAGGCTGCTCCAAACATCCAATTATTTATAAATGAAAATCATGGAAATTGTCAGTAGGGTCTAAACTTTTGCATACGACTGTATTACACCATAAAGGAAGATGGTGTGCTAGTTTCCAGCTGACAGATCTGGTGTGGATCCAGCCGGGTGGGGAAGGAACTCCTGGAAAGAAAACATACATTTTTAACTGAAAAATAAAATGTTAGTTGACAGCACAGTTTCCTAAATAAAACATACATTTATAGATTTTTCTCACAAGAAATGTGTCTGACAGGTTCCCTATAAAGCTTTGAGACAATCTGCCAAAGCTGAAGTGATATTGGGACATCTGGTGGTTTTTTGCAAACTGCACAACTTTGTTTTTTATGTTCCCACACAAGTCAAGATGTTCAAAACATACAAGTAAAGAATGTTTGAATTGTGTGGTCATTAAAAACACCTCTTATTGTTTAAGAATAACCAAAAGATTGGGTATCCTGCCTATCCTAGGTGACTCTTTGATTTAGGCACCTTTTGTTAGTCAGTAGTAAAAACACAATAATAACAATCTTTATTTTATGTTCTGATGAGTCTTTTTCATCACCAACTCAACTTATATTAATAAATACATGCAAGATGAAATCAAAAGACGCATTAAAGTTCATTTATCTTTATAGCAATATAAAAAGATCTGGAAAAGCCAGTTGTCAAAATGTCTTGTTAAAGTTACACATCGTAGATAGAAGGACAAAAAACTACAAACATGAGGTATAACGTTTATAACTGCACATTAAACGTTTTTCAAAACACTGGCCATAAAACATAAAACATAACATTTCTGACCTTTCTTCATCAGAACTTTCTAGACAACCAGAGCAGAAAAGTGACCTTGGAAATTCACAATTAATGACTGAAAATAATGCAAAAGATTCTCAAGCAGTTATTTAAAATGCATAAACGTGATGTTTATGTAAGTATAACAAAATGGCAAATGATCGACACACATATTGATAAATAAAATGGCTCCGGGTGTTATTTGTGTGCACTTTGCAGTCTATTTTACAATACAAAGATAACAAAACTTTATTTTTATCCCACATTTCATTCAAAAAAGATAAAACAATAAGGTGTCAGTGGATCGTAGTGTCTGAAACGTGTATTTTTCCCTCATCAACGTGACAAATAATGTAATACTTCAAAGATGAACGATTAACCGAAGCTATAAACATGAAAACCAGAATTTTCTTTCTCATCTTTATTGCGATGTCCAGCAAGGCTGAGATGAAATGTACATTTGTGGCACATATTATTCAAACATAAAGTTACAGTTTATACGTATTGATATGAAAAATATTTACATGGAGCTCCTCTTATTATTCAACTCATACAAAAACGTGAACATCTAATAACAGTTACAGTTAATTCTAAACAACAGTTTTGATCAGAGATGAAGAAAATTCTTTTACATGGAAGATTTATAAGTTAAACTTTTGGATCCTTATGTGTCACATATAAAAGGACATTTTACCGTGAGACATATAGTTTCAGCTGTATGTTAAACATCTGCAGTAAACTATATTTACATGGAATCATCACCACATCTTAAAAAAGGACACTTATGAACATAAGACAGGAGGTTACAGTGGTATTTCAAACAGTCCCGGTGATCTTAGAGTCCATGTGAAGGGCCACTTTAGTCCACCTCCTCAATGGTGGGCCCCTGGGAGCCGGCTCGTGCCTGCTCTCCACAGCTTCCAGCGGGCATTCCTCCCTGATACAACTTGCTGATGATGGGGTTACACACTTTCTCCAGCTCCTTCTGCTGGTGCTGGTACTCCTCTTTATCAGCCAGCTGGTTGTTCTCCAGCCAGCTGATGGTCTCGTCACACTTCTCAATCAGCTTCTTCCGGTCCTCCTCGCTAATTTTGCCCTTCACCTTCTCGTCCTGCACGGCGCTCTTCGTGTTGAAGGCGTAGGACTCCAGGGAGTTCTTGGCGGAGACTTTCTCCCTCTGAAGGTCGTCCTCAGCTTTGTATTTGTCGGCGTCCTGCACCATCCTCTCGATCTCTTCCTTGCTCAGCCGGCCCTTATCGTTGGTGATGGTGATCTTGTTCTCTTTGCCGGTGCTTTTGTCCACCGCAGACACGTTCAAAATGCCGTTGGCGTCCACGTCGAAGGTGACCTCGATCTGCGGGACCCCTCGCGGAGCGGGCGGGATTCCCGTCAGCTCAAACCTGCCCAGCAGGTTGTTGTCCTTGGTCATGGCTCTTTCCCCTTCGTAGACCTGGATCAGGACCCCGGGCTGGTTGTCGGAGTAGGTGCTGAAGATCTGGGTCTGTTTAGTGGGGATGGTGGTGTTGCGCTTAATCAGGGACGTCATGACTCCTCCGGCCGTCTCGATACCCAGGGACAGAGGCGCCACGTCCAGCAGCA